ATATGTGTTGATAAGTTGATATCGGTAATTAATATTGGTTATTGATAATCATCAAATTTAAGAGATTAATCTCAGTTTGGGACTGTTCTTTACAAAGAAGGTAGATAAAATATATGCCCATATATAGAGACAGTCCAATTAACAAGCCATTTAGTTAATCAATCTTTTCTCTTGACCATTTCTCAAAGACGTTGGTTAATGGTTAATTTTACGGGTCTTTTGTTTCCTAATACTTCAAAAGTCCTGGATGTATAATCTTCTGTGTCTCGCAAGTATTTCTAATACATTTGTCAGGCTTTTGGGGAATCTATAGGATTGAATCTTTGCTCACTTCCTAGACAGGCTAATTATTTATGTTACACTGTCTGTGTCAACATTTTGACCAGCATCACAAGTTGACTCTATATTTAACCTTATGTATACCTACTCCTATCTAACCCTAGCTGAGCATAACTCTTGTTAGCCCCCAACGCTAACTTTAATTAATCCTAACCCTAGCTAGCTGTATAAGATAAAAGGCAGGAAGAAGGCGGATAATATAAAATTTACATTTTGTAAAAATAGAATAATGCTTTTTGCTAACAGAACATGGCCCCTATCCTACCCCAATATCCTACACACACACTTCATCCACCACACACACACTGCATCCACTACACACACATACTGCATTCACAATACACACACACTGCATACACAAAAATACTACATCCACTACACACACACACACACTCCGCATTCACTATACAAACACTACATTCACTCTACACACACGGCATTCAACCTATACACACACTGCATCCTTGGGGGTGGTTTCAGGTGGCCCTGTGGGCTAATTCAGGAGCAGGCTATGGTGGACCAGAACTTGAGCTGTGCAAGGATCCCTAAATTTCTGATTGCAGCCCTGGTCATTACTATTATGGTGACCACTTGGAACCAATACAGAAGGTTTGCTGTACTGCCTAATTTCAAAGTAATTCAGCAATAGCCCAGTATGTGCATGGACTGATAGTTATCGGAGCTCTAGGAGGGTCTGTTATAGAGATTCAAAGCTAGGGCAGACACTGCAACAACACTGACAGACATCCAGCTTAAGACATCCAGCAATTGCCAAGTACATGGAGCTCTGCTATCCACCAACAGTTAGCATCCAATCACTTTGACATGGTGCCACAGCATTTGGTTGCTTCATGGAGCCTAGGAGCTATTGCTTTACATATAAGGAGTCTGGAAATAGCCAAATATCTCTGTGACCCATGTGTTTGGTGGGATTTAACAGCTTCTGTACCCTGTATGTAGACAATCACAAAGTGTATTAGTGATAGCAACATACAGAGTATAGTACTCATCACAATTATTTTCTCCTCAGTGAAATGATGCAAAAGGAAACCCAAGTGAGGTGGACTCGGATGCTTGTTTATCATGTTCAAGGGAGCCAAGGGTAGTTTCTAACCTGGGTATCACGTAAATATAGTCTATGTATGGCATTGCATACAATTGCATTATAATAATAAACCAATGTAACAGCATTCTATAATGTGTTTTTGTTATTTTTGTTGTTTTTTTTATTAATGTTAAATTATGCACAAACCTGAATACAAATTTGACAAATGCTTAAAAGATTAAAAAGAGTCCTCAATCAAGTCTGTTATTGTCCTGTTTTTTCTTTTCTTTTTCCTTTCAACATAAAGCCGTTATTTTATTTTTCTTCTTTCAGCATCCCAACCTTTAAGCAAGTTAATTACTATGTTTATGCACAGGGAAGGGAAGGCAAACGTGGTTTAAAAGGGATTCCAGTAGTTCACTACCTGTGGTTCTTTTAAATCACAGGACAAGCAAATAAAGCTGAACTTTCCAATAGGAGATAAGTTTAACTTTTGACATTAGAAAAATGTGTGCTCATTTTATATTTTACTTTAGTAACACTACTTAATCAATGGTAATGGGGTACAGTGGAGCCACTCTGCCCAGCATCTTCCTTCTGGCTATCACCTAGGAAGGCCATCCTGCCACTTCCTAGCCAGTAGTAGTACTATAGAGTTATATACTAATAATCTCTTTATGTCAGGCTGCTTTAAGAATCACCTGCCTGATTTAAAAAGAAACCACCACCTGTAGAGATCCAGGCTATAGAGCTCCATATCTGTGGTTTCTGCCTGTAGCAATGCCTCTGGTGCAGGACATAGGGTGTGATGTAGGGCAGGGTTTTGGAAGGTTGTTAAGTCAAAATATGTGGGGAGAAGCATCTGGGCGTTTTGCCCCTAGCAATGCCTCTGGCTGTGACATGTTATTAATAGAAGAGGAAATTAAACATTAGCAGGGTTAATCTCTAAATACAGAATTCAAAGTAAATTCAATATTCATTTCAGATCCAAAGTACAAATATGCTTCCATTTTGGCCTTAAAATTCAAATTCACTTTGAACTCTGTGTCAGACCCATAGTAAAACCCTGTAAAAAGGATTTCCTCAATATATTTACAGAAAAGTATGGCATCTCACATAATTACATTTATGAGACAAATAGGGTTATTAACTAAAGTCAGACTTCAAATCGAATTTCAAATTTAAGGTCAAAGTAGTTAAACTGGAAGCAAACTTGAATTAGAGAATTAGAAAAAGGTCAGCTATTTTGACTTTAAATTTGGAATTCACTTTGAATGCTCACTTTAGTGAATAACCCTGAAAGATATATTCGTCATTTAGGAAGCACCAGCAATGTTTGATTTGCTTTTAAGATGGGAGCTTTGTTTAGGTCTGAACTGCAATTTTTCCGAATTTCGGCTGATTGGGAGATCGGTCAAATTCCAGAATTCCGAGCCAAAATGTTACATAGTTACATAGGCTGAAAAGAGACACGCGCCCATCAAGTTCAGCCTTTCTCACATATGTTTTAGCTGTTTATCCAGTATTTAATTCTGAAATAAGCTTGTAGCACCAAAAAAAGAGATGATTAATTAGAAAAAAAAAAATATTGATGGGTAAGGGACATTCACTAAGTGTTGATGTCATTCACATATCAAGTAAGAAGTGACCAATAGACAGGGGTGCATTTACCCCGAGGTAAACATGGCATTTGCCTTGGGCGGCACTTTCTGGGGGGCTGCAAAAAAAGCCGTCCCCCAATCGCCCTGGCAAATGCCTTGCCAGCCTCTTGTCCTAGGGGGCCCAGGAGCTGGCCGGGTGGCCTCCTCAGGTCCCCCCAGGCTGTTAGCGGTGGAGCTTTCCAGGCGGGCGGCGACTGAGCACTAACCCTTCTGTTCAGCTCCCTTGAGCGCACCACAGTGATGCCGGAGCCGGAATATGACGTCACCAGCCACCAGCCCAGCAGCCCCACTGGATCCCAGGGAAAGTGTTAATCCACCCCAGCATTCCCAAAGGTAGGGAGGCTAGGGGGATTGAATTAAAAAAATAAATGTGAGTTTGTTAATGTGTGTGTGTGTCTGTTAGTTAGTGAGAGTGTGTGTTAGTGTGTATGTGAGTGTCAGTGAGTGAGTGTGTGTGTCTGTTAGTGAGTGTGTCTGTTAGGGAATGTGTTACTATGTGTGTGTCTGTTAGTGTGTGTGTGTTTGTGTGTGTGTCTGTTAATGAGTGTGTGTGTGAGTGTCTGTTAGTGAGTGAGTGAGTGTGTGTGTGTGTCTGTTAGTGAGTGTGTCTGTTAGGGAGTGTGTTACTATGTGTGTGTCTGTTAGTGTGTATGCATGTCTGTAAGTGAGAGTGTATGTGTGTATATATATATATATATATATATACGGGAAGGCGGAGCCTGGAGTTGTGGGAGGGCTTGATCCGGCCTATATTAGGCTTATCAATAAACTGCAATCTTTAAGTTTGGATTCCAATATTGTTGAATGGGTAAGGCAGTGGCTGAGTGACAGGCAACAGAGGGTTGTAGTTAATGGAATATATTTGAAGCTTGGACTTGTCACCAGTGGGTACCTCAGGGATCTGTACTTGGACCCATTCTCTTTAATATTTTTATTAGTGATATTGCAGAAGGTCTTGATGGTAAGGTATGTCTTTTTGCTGATGATACCAAGATATGTAACAGGGTTGATGTTCCAGGAGGGATAAGCCAAATGGCAAATTATTTAGGTAAACTAGAAAAATGGTCAGAGTTGTGGCAACTGACATTTAATGTGGATAAGTGCAAGATAATGCATCTTGGACGTAAAAACCCAAGGGCAGAGTACAAAATATTTGATAGAGTCCTAACCTCAACAATTGAGGAAAGGGATTTAGGGGTGATTATTTCTGATGACTTAAAGGTAGGCAGACAATGTAATAGAGCAGCAGGAAATGCTAGCAGAATGCTTGGCTGTATAGGGAGAGGTATTAGCAGTAGAAAGAGGGAAGTGCTCATGCCATTGTACAGAACACTGGTGAGACCTCCCTTGGAGTATTGTACACAGTACTGGAGACCGTATCTTCAGAAGGATATTGATACCTTAGAGAGGGTTCAGAGACGGGCTACTAAACTGGTTCATGGATTGCTGGATAAAACTTTGCAGGAAAGGTTAAAGAATCTTAACATGTATAGCTTGGAGGAAAGATGAGACAGGGGGGATATGATAGAAACATTTAAATATTTAAAGACAATCAACACAGTAAAGGAGGAGACTATATTTAAAAGAAGAAAAACTACCACAACAAGAGGACATAGTCTTAAATTAGAGGGGCAAAGGTTTAAAAATAATATCAGGAAGTATTACTTTACTGAGAGGGTAGTGGATGCATGGAATAACCTTCCAGCTGAAGTGGTAGAGGTTAACACAGTAAAGGAGTTTAAGCATGCGTGGGATAGGCATAAGGCTATTCTAACTATAAGATAAGACTAGGGACTAATGAAAGTATTTAGAAAATTGGGCAGACTAGATGGGCCGAATGGTTCTTATCTGCCGTCACATTCTATGTTTCTATATTTCTATGTTTCTATATACTCAAACCTACCTCCATACTGGGCTGACGTTGACTTGTCACTTCTGGTTCCGGTTTGCACCAGTAGGATTTCCTCGTGCAGAATTGCAGGCCAAGTTACAGCCAGAATACTTTCCAGGCAATCCAGCAGGCCCTCGCAACAACAACCGCCAACACCAGCGTCAGCAGCTCGGAAAACGGCACCACCAGCGCCCGGTGCAGTATACCCATGTTCCGCAACGGTACTTCCAGGGCACCTACCCAAACTCCCGGGTCCGCCACCAGGCACCCACCAACGGTGAGTAAATAACAAATGCACCAACTCACCGAATGGGGGACCTACGTGACCACATGCATTCAATCACATAAAACTCTAATTTAAACGAATTGAAGTTCGTACACACAAACTAACACACGTACCATCCTTCTACCAGCACATGTTTCGTTCATACAAACTAACGTAACCACGTACAAAATGAAACAAACAAGTTTCAGGTCGGCTAATTCAGACGAACGATCTGTCAAACTCGCACAACACCGCCATCTATGGTTCAAACGCCTAACTACACATAAAAAAACTTTTTTAAAACTTTTAAGGCAGAAATGGCACGCCGGCTTCACAAACTCACAGACTTAAAATACAAGGGAAAAAATAACTGTTTTTTTCATTGTGTTCCTCTGCATAGATAATAATCATTGTTAAACGTATTTACCGCTAATATTTATAAATTTTCTATGCATAGATAAAAATCACTTGTTTAACTAATATTTATAAAACGGCTAAAATAATTACTAATTATTATTATTATTATTGCCATTTATATAGCGCCAACAGATTTCGTAGCGCTTTACAATATTATGAGAGGGGGGATTTAACTATAAATAGGACAATTACAAGAAAACTTACAGGAACGATAGGTTGAAGAGGACCCTGCTCAAACGAGCTTACAGTCTATAGGAGGTGGGATATAAGACACGTTAGGACAGGATAAGTATGATGTACATGGTCAGTCAGTTAACAGGGTAATATGCTTAACTTTGTATTTTTGATCTGTTGTTGTGAGATTTCTGGTATAACAAGCAGGTTTACAGTGCATTATTTAAAATATATGCTCATACTGTCATTATGTATTCCAGAAATCAGAGCAATACTCCACTGAATATTCATCCTTGTCATTTTGATATCTCTGATACATATGGTACATTAAAAAAAAAAAAAAAACTAGTACGGTTCCATATCACATACCTACTACACCATTACGCTAAGCGGCACAAGAGGAAAGGTGAAGGCAGTTGGCCACACTCAAAAACGCACATTAATCAGGATAACCTACACATATTTAATTTCCTAAAACTATCTTAGATGTAACAGAAACAAATGCTAGACTTAAGACTATGCTAGAAACCACACATATATACAAGAGAACTAGCAGTTAGCAACGTTACCTTGGCATTCAGGTCACTTCACAAAGTACAAACAATCATAAGAAAGTAAAAATCATACTTAATGCATGTGGAATTAAATAAGAGTCACTTCATTCCCTTAATCCGTTAGATCCAGAAGTACCCACCCATACCAGCCACCCCTTAGAGGACCAACAGTTGATCCAGGTATGTATTACTTAAATCAGTCTAAAAAACAAGCTCTACCATAGAGGAGTCACCAATGTTAGTCTTGGTTCATAGGTGGTACAAGTCTAAAAACTCAGGAATCCCATGACTGATAAGATCCCATCTCTAAAAACGATCATGTACGTGGTCTCCAACATGCCACTTACCCCAAACAGCATTATACTGGCAGATAGGGTGCTTGAACGGGCCATACACAGGCAAGGCAAATCGGAATCATGCGAGACCAACACCCATCCTCACATAGAGGTTTCCAGCCCAAACGGTCTAAACCATGACTATTGTCTTGAACCGTTCTACTCAAGAGCTCTAGTTAGGACGTCACTTCTCTCTGTCACCATACTTATTAAGTCCCTAGAGGCCTACACCCTGCCTTCACTCAAAGGCACAGCACAGGGCCAAATGATAGATAGCACCTCTATCAGCCACTTGGCATCAGCAGGGCCTCACCATCCCAATAATAGTTAAGTTCTTCGCCACCCGGCAATTAAAGAAGCCAGTTAGTGCTAGTCATTATAACTATAGCAAGTCAAGACTCCCGTCTAAATCTTGTTTATAGTATGTCGCACGCATCAGAGCAAGCAGACGATTTCTCCCTACCCAGCACGCCAGCTAGACCTCCTACTCCAACTACGGCTCCTACAGCAGGAGAAAGTCAAGATCCCTCTAGTCCCCGTTCATTAAGATCTTGGACAACCCAAAGATTGCAGCAGAACTCAGGCATGGGGGGGTACTGTACCCGGCCATGGCCATGAAAGCTGAATTGTACAGGATTATGATGACCAGTGCATATAATCCACAGCCAGGGTTTAGCTTTCAAGAGCACATCATTGACACTCTCACAGGAATTCAGATCACTATGACAGCTATGCTTGAGTCAATCAACAGCCAAAATCAAAGAGTGGATAAATTAGAAACTCTAGCACCAGCCACAGTGTGTCCCCCTAATACCCATCCTACACAAGTTGTCAACCAAACCGTCTCACAGGGAAATGCCACAGGTACACAAAATGCACAGAGTGCGGATACACACATTATTACACAAGCACACAGGGTACCACCCAACATCAAGAAAGATATTCTCGAGGGAAAACACGTAAACCTTATGTCCTTACTGATAGCATCACAGGACATGGTGGAAAACAAAACCTACAACTATGGTGACCTATCAGTAGTGCTCAAGGCCAAAGACATTAGGCTGGGAAAAAACTGTCTATACCAGATTTCGTACTCGCATTTGGGTTATATACGGATGTCATATGCTTTAATTTTCCACAACGTAGAGAGGAACTGAAGTTGGTAGATCTGGGAAACAAGTAAGGTGGGTCTAATTTTTATGACTACCACAAGTCTTTTTCAGCCATGGCAGCGGTAACATTCGCACAGATTAACATAAGAATAGATTGGAGTCACCGAGTTATTCTGTCGCCACTTTGTCAGGCTACTATCACGGCTTGCGCTATCTGCGCTTTAAACTCGCACACTACCAACTTGTGCTCCAGCGAGCCCAGTTTTCCCACCACCAGCTACACAGCCCCTAGAACTAGCAGGAAAGAACAGAAAGGCTTAAGGTATAAACTTGGTAGACCGATAGTGTTCTTGGGAAAAGCACAGGTATGCAACAATTTCAATGCAGGAGGCTGCAGTTTCAGCGCCTGCAGATTGTTGCATGTCTGCTCAATCTGTTACCGTGCTCACGCTAAGACTATGTGCCCAAATCGCCTCTTCACAAGGAAATGACTGGCCGAAATTCAAGTTGACACCTTAGCCTTCTACCTAAATGCACACCCCTCACAGGAGTTGGTACAATTTCTAGTCACAGGGTTCACAGAGGGCTTTCACACAGGATTGATCACACTTCCCACAAGCACACTAGAGTGCAACAACCTACAGTCAGCCGCTAGAGAACCAGCAGTAGTAGATAACTTGCTGAGATCAGAGACAGAGAAAGGGTTTATGCTCAAGCCTTTTCTAAATCCACCATTCATGTGCTGGCCTACCAACCCCTTGGGTATAGCAACTGGCAAATACAACAATAAATAAAGATTTATAATCGATTTGTCTGCTCCACATTCTATCACCATACCTATCCTAAACTCACTCATACCATCCGAGGAGTATTCACTGCAGTATGCCACAGTAGACAAAGCCATACAGGCAATCTTGAAGTCTGGGGTAGCAGCTTGGATCAGCAAAACCAACATTACCAATGCATTCAAGCTGCTTCCCATACATCTGTCACTGTGGCATCTGCATGGAGTAAAATGGAGTGGACCTTATTATTTTGCTAACCGCTTAACGTTTGGAGCCAAAAGTAGCCTCAAGCTTTTTGACCTATTCGCGTTGTGTTGGCTCCTGTTGAACGTCACTACTTGTCCAGTCGTAGAAGACCACACCACAGAGCATGGCGAAGAAAACTAGCACTATTTTCCGCACTAGGGGTACCAGTAGCTGCCGATAAAACAGTAGGTCCCACCACCAACTTAACATTTCTAGGGATATGCTTAGGCTCAGTTACCATGCAAGCATGTCTTCCAGGTGATAAAGTTCAGAGAATCAAGGCAGAAGTCGAAGAGTTCCTCACAAGACAGACCACTTCTCGGAAAGATCTACAGTCTCTACTTGGTTCCCTGAACTTTTGTCAGGATTACAGAATGATCCAGCACGTAGAATTGTGTAACACAGAGGACTAATAGGTAACGTATACCGGACCTTAGAATGGCCAGGCTAACGTACCAAAGAATAGTCAGGAATAGCCGAGGTCAAGGGAAACAGAAAGAGACAATGATAATGAAAAGCCAGGAGTCAGGGATGCCAGAAAACAGGGAAGTCAAAAACAATGCCAAAGTAAAATAACCAGAATTACCAGAATCAATAACGCGCTCTCGGTCAACCACAAGGGAAACCACGACAGGGCACTGAGCAGGATGAGAACTGGGCCTAAATACCCCTCCTCTAGATCTGATAGGCTGTAACCGGCCTTTGACCCCAAAGGCAGTTACCAGGTTCCCATTTGCATAATTGCTGCTCAGCAATAACCCTTCTGTGGATTTGGTTACTGCTCGGCACAACTTTTCCTGTGTGGACAGTAAAGTCATTAACCACATTTTTATAAGCGGATGAATATGTGGCAACTTTGCAATGAAGATAATTCCTCAAGAAAGAGCATTTATTTCAAGACTCCTTGGCCTCTTACCAAACATACCCAGACAGCATCATAACACTCAACGATCAGGCTAGGGCAGGTTTGGCCATGTGGAGAGAATTCTTGACACACTGGGACGGGGATAATCTATTCATCCCTCCTTTAACAGAGAACTCCCCAGTGTTGAGGACAGACACAGCAGTACACTGCTGCAATTTTTGGCAACAAATGGTTCAGGGACAAATGGCTAATCGAAACAACAACTCTCCCTTCATTTAACAGTACTTCTGCCCTGTTCGAAATATATCCAATAGTATCAGCAGCGCTAGTGTGGGGCCACCAGTGGGAAGGGAAGACTATAAAATGCCTCACCAACAACATGGCAGCTAGTGACATTATCAACAAAGGCAGGTCATCTTCCCTAACAATCATGAGTCTAGTTAGGAGACTCACATGGTTAGAAGCGACACACCATTTCCACTTGATATGTGAGCACAATACCAGGCATACACAACACAGCAGCTGATGCCCTTTCTCCTTGCAATCTACAGGTTTTCTTTCAACAACATCCATCAGCCAAGAGAATATCAAGCAGGTCACCACTATTCCAGGAACTCATCCTGGACTAACAACACTAATGGCACACGGGAGAATGCTGGCACAAACAGCACTATCAGCAAACACTAGACGTTCAAACAATCGAGCACTCACTTTATTTAACAGATTTACCACAGAATATCAAATACAAAACCCGTTCACGTTAGATACTATGGTGGCCTTTACCTCTTTTTGCCACCTAAATCTAAAACTCGCACACAATACCATAAAGCTCTATCTAATAGGCATACAATACTATGTCACAAACACATACCCCAGCCACAGTACCTTCCTATCGTCAAACCCAATAAAAAACATTTTAAAAGGCATCCTACGGTTACAAGGACCCAAAACTACAAAGCGACAACCAATAGATAAGGAAAGGTTCAGAGCCTTATCCGACGCATTAGACTCACAGCCCTTAAAAAACAGAAACAAACACCATCAAAACGCTATGTTTCTGGCATTTTAAGAGTTTCTACGGCCTAACAAGTTTACGGTAGTGAACACCAATGATACCACCAATATGCTCACAATGGGAGACCTTAACATAGTAGGGGACCACTAAGTTTTGACCCTACACAGCACCAAAACAAACCAAAGCCATCTGTCAACATACCGCTATTCCCCACAGGCAACAAGTGGTATCCTGTTAAGTTACCCTGACCACAAATGGGAAGACAGAACTTGGAGTTGTGGCAAGGGTTGATCCATCCTATATATTCTCAAGAGCTCCCTCTCTACATACCTCAAAACAGAATGCACCTGTCATGGTTGATTATATATTTCCTACCTGTTCTATGTTAGATTTTGTATATATTGTGTATTAATATTGTTTTTGTATTTTATTGTACCCTAATGTAACAATGCAATGATTTGTGGACCCAGGACATACTTGAAAACAAGATAAATCTCAATGTATCTTTCCTGGTAAAATATTTTATAAATAAATAAACCTACCTCCATGTTCCTCCTACCTTAGCTGTTCCTAGAACTGCACTCTTCTTCAAAGATCACCTTCACCAGGCCACTTGCACAGCCTTTCGACTGGGGAGGGAGAGAGAGAGGACCCAGCGGAGCTCTATCTTGCAGCTCCACTGGGTTCCTCTAGCGAGATCCGGAGCGTCCCCCCCTCCCAGGCTAAAGGTAAGAAGGGATGGGGATATCACCCTCACACACAACTCTCACACACATCACCCTCACCCACACACACACTTCACCCCTCACACTCACAGCACCCTCACATTCACAGCATCCATCACACACTGCACCCTTCTCACACAAACATTTTACCCCCACACACATACTGCACCCCTCACATACACACTACACCCCTCACACACACATACTACACCCCTCACACACAACCACTGCACCCTTCACTCACACACTGCACCCCTCACACATAAACACAGAACCCCCAACACACTGCACCACTCACACACATACACACACACAATACTTATATATATATATATATATATATATACACACACACACACACACACACACACCTCACACACACCTCACACACATACTGCAGCCCCTAGCCACACATGCATTACATGCACCTGTCATGGTTCATTATATATTTATTACATGTTCTATGTTCAATTTTAGATATATGTTTTGTATTAAATATTGTTTTTGTATTTTATTGTACCCTCTTGTAATGATGCAGTGTTTTGTGGACCCAGGACATACTTGAAAACAAGAGAAATCTCAATGGATCTTTCCTGGTAAAATATTTTATAAATAAATAAATAGAGGTGTGAGCATCTTACAACAAAGAAATTCCCGGTAAAAAAAATTAAATGGTCTGCAAGGATAGAAAAACATATTTTACTCAAGTCTGTGTTTATTTACGTTAAAAAAACAAACTAGTAAATAAGAAAAGTTTTAACCCAAAATCCCCAGTTAAGTTTTAAAGGGACACTGTAGTCACTATAAGCATTTCTTCTCTTTGAATTGGTTATAGTGCCTGGAGTGCCCTGGCACTGTCCCTCCATTCAGTGTTGCACCATGTTCGTGCAGTATGCCACAAAATAAGAGCCCCTGGCCACCCAAAGTCCGGCCCCTTCTGTATGTGTAGCTAAGGCAGAAATTACACACTTCCTTGTTGTCATACCCATTCATACCGTCAGTTGGGACTCTGACAGGCTAAAAGCAGTCAGCTGACACTCTCAGCCAATCACAGCTGCCTATTGCTGCTCAGGATAATACTTCCTTATTAGCCAAAGCAGCACAGAGGGGATGGATTGCCGGGGACTCTTGTTTAGCATTAAAACATTAAAAGTTTAAAAACTGTTTAATGCTGAAAGAAATGATGGTACCAGAGGACTCCAGACACTATAACCAGTTTAATGAGATGAAGCAGATACGGTGCCTACGGTGTCCCTTTAACCCAAAATCCTTACCTTACATTTGTTTTAATCTTCTGTGCAACAAGCATGGGGTTTCTTAATTTTTTAATGGATAATTCTGCTCTATAATCTTATATGCAGTTAGGAATATCAAATTGGAAATGCTTCTCTCAATATACATTTTCACATAAGCAGCTGAACATTGTCAGGATAAAAGGTTTCAGGAATATATGAGATTTGTCTGAATTGGTTCCACCCCAAAAGACAAGCTATTAGTTTTTATGAATGAAATCGGTATTCAATGCTACCTTTTGTGATAACACAGCTTTCACTATACACTTTATAAGTATGGGCATAGAAGATATTAACATCTTCTTATTTTATACTTTGCAATCCATAGTAGAATATTGGAACTTTTGCTTTTGAATTTAAATGTTTAAATTACACTAGCTACATTTTATACTGCATATAACACATACACAAGGAAGGAATATACATCAGGTTAATGTAACTGCATATATAAAAAATCTTTCAAAGTGAGAGCATTATATGTAGCTTTGATTTTTAGTTTTGCATTTTTATAACAAAGAAAATGGATACAGAATGGAAAATGTGAGTGTTAGGCAAATTCACGTGTAATATTGTGATCATACAGCTCAATACTGAAATACATACGTTGAATGAAACTTCTATTAGCATTACATACAGGGAATGGGTAGAATACAGAACATCAAGACATTTGTTATGCATTATTTACTTATTAATTCAGTACATCTAATTCAGTCATGCTTACTCTACAATTCTGTGTATTTATAGCTTAATACTATAAAAATGTTGTTTTCATTTCATAATTTTTTATCTAATAATAATATTTTAACGGAATTAAAATTAAAGCTCTACAATGAAAATATCTCCTTCAAGGAAGCTAGTCTATTTAGACCAAATATTTAGTATTTATAAGAAACAACACAGATCCCCGACGCATTTAACTAGCTGCAATGTCAAAGAGGGGAATGACAGAGCAACTCACTAAATCAAGAATTGTGTTGAACTGACAAGGGATTTGCAGATTTTATTCAAAAATAGCCATGCAAGAATAATGCAGTTTGGATATTTGTGTTCCCATTTTGGCTATTTTGACCTACATTGTGCAAATACCTTGTCAAATCTCTACAATTCCTGATTTCGGGAATACGCTTGTGAGGAAGGAAAATGAATAGCCTAATGTGAATGACAAAATGATGGAATGAATTCAACAGCAAGATAACAAGGAGGAAACATGCATTAAAAAACATACAAAGAAGAAGTTTGGACCGCAGATGGGGAAGATAGAATTAGCCACAGAATGAAGTGTTTGCTCATTAAATTTGACACAAACCAAAGAGTCCAATGTTCTACCCACAGGTAAAATAAAATTTTTCCTTTTTTGACTTTGATTTTGCAGAAGAACACTCTCCAGAGACATTCTGTGATTTCTCTGCTCCTGGTGAATAAGAGAAAAAAAAATGAGTAGCAGAGAAGGGTTAAGATCCCATAGAACCCGAGGCAGGTTTACAGTTTGGAGCTCCCCCCTCATATTTCACACATGGTTAGTAAATAGGGCCAAGAGAATTCCGGTCTAATCGCTGAACCCTAGGCAGCTTATTAATGTCGCTTTATGGTTAATCCTGCTTTATTCTGTAGGTGCTACCCATTCTATGTTTCTCACAAAAGGAACCTTTAAACCCGAAATGCAAATATTACTTACCATTAACATTGTCTTAAGCCAGATCAATTGCACCATGTTTCCTCTTCCTTATTCATAATCTTTATTTTGAAACACCAAACTGAGATCCCTTCTTTTTATTGATTGAAAAACTGATATTCTTCTCCATAGAGACACCTCTGCAACCTGGAACATGTATCAGCAACAACTCCTACAACTAATCTCTCCAAGTCCCCCTACTTTCTAGACCTATATCCACATGAGAAATAAATGGTTTCTGTGTGGAAGACACTTCATCCATGCTTCCTGCTAAACCAACTAAAAGGAAGACAGAAAACAGAATACAAAAAGAAGTATAACAGTTGAAACTACTGGTGAATATAAACTGGTTGTACCCTTCCTGCTTTTTTAATCAATTATAACACATTTGGCTTACTGTAGCTGGTCTAACTTGATTCAATCAGACCATTAGAACTATCCCATTGAGAGAACGCCTTTCTCTGGGAGATGGTCCTTATTATCATACCCGATAACATGGTCACTGCACTACTATTCGGAGATACGTCTTAGATTCAAAGTGTCAGAATGACTGACAGTACTGTCCACAGCATGCAGGAGCCTTAAATAATGAAATGCAGTGAAAGGTAGGAGCAGATCTTCCAAAACACATTACGGCCAGCTCAAGCAGAGAGAAGGTCATTTAGGCAATCTCTTGGAACTTAGAAACAACACGCTGTTGAGAAAGCTTCCAGAAGAGAAACAAATCTTATCCAACTTTTTTCAGTATGTGGTTGTTTTCATTTTCACCACCTCGTACATTTAGTGTGTATACATTTTTACACTTTTTGCCAGCCTATTTTTTATGATTATTTGTAACATTGAGTAAAGAGGTTAATTAATTATTTTTAATTTTTATTTACCTACCTGCCATCAGTCTCTTCACTGATGTGTAAAACGTAGACATTGTATATCAATTATGTTACCAGAGCGATCATTGTGTCACCATTTGTCCATTATGTCTATTTAACTGTTTTTTTTGTAGGGTCATTAGCTGAGTCCCTTTAGAACCCGTTTGAATCCCATCCAATACAGATCCTTCAAAATTAATGTTATTTCATATGTATAAAAGTTTTGTGTTTGTTTCCTTTCAATGCTACCAGTGAAAGGATTAATGCCAGTTAACAATATTGCACATGTGTAGTGAGAGATAACGAAATTGTTTGATAGTTATTTTTTTATCCTGTTAAGGATTTTGAACACTTTTACTCATTTTTTTGGCATTAACGCCCAGTGATGTATCTTGGATTTGTGCTGCCCTAGGCACGACTAAATTCAGGCACCCCCCCTAATCTAAATTTGCACCACCACTTCATGTCAGGCTACTTTATTGACTCACAGACGCACGCCCTCATTGACACATGCACTGACATACACTCACTGACAGATACACAGTCATTGGCACACACACTGTTTAAACAACCCACACTTTCACTGACAGACACACACACTGACACACCTACTCACTGACAGGCACACACTCTCAGATTTACATATACTCACTGAAAGACACACACTGACACAAACATCCTTGTTGATTTGACACACTCTGACAGGCACACACAGTTACTCACTCACAGCTACACACACTCACACACTGACATGCACACACTCACTGACAGACAGACAAACACTGACAGACACACACACACACACACACACAGTGACAGGCACAGTGACAAACAGACACAGTGACAGACACAGACATACTGATAGACACAGTGACAGACACATGCATACTCACTGAGAGACACAAACATACTCACTAAAATACAAAGACACACACACTGACAGACACAGATACACTCACTGACAGATGCACACACTGACAGACACACTCACTGACTGACAGGCACAGAGATAGTGACAGACACAGACACTAACTGACAGACACAGACACACACACTGACATACACACACACACACACACACACTTTATCATACACTCACCATTGCTGGGGCTGGGCGGACAGACTCTTGGGGCTGCTGGCTTCTGTGGGCTCGGCTGGCTGGGTGGGCAGGCAGCCATTTAATAGAGGTGACGTCATATTCCGGCTCCCGGCATCATAGAAGGGCGCGCGAGGGAGCACGAAGGGCTCAGAGGACTGTGCTCCCTTGCCGCCCATCTCCACTTCGAGCCAGCCGGCCGCCTCCTGCTCCCCCCAAGACATAAGGCAAACAAAGCATTTGCCTGGGAACTAAGGGCGGCATTTATATCATCAGGCAAAATAATATTTTCACTTCATGTCTTCTCTTTCTATATCCTGACTGACAGGTACAAAGGTTAGAGCTTAGTACAATAATTTAAAGGGAGCTTAGATGTAGGCACATAATGAGGTGAACATTTCTTCATTTGATTTCATTTTTCAAACATCATAAACACATATTTATTAAAAATAGGGATTAGTAAATATAATAATAACATTCCAGGTAAGTGACATTTCATCTTTAAAGTTTTGATTCTTTGTTCTACCAGGGATGAGGTGGAAGATACCACAGGTCAATACAGCAATAGATAAAAAAAAAGTATGGCAAGGTCTAGTAATCTTGGCTGTAATAATCACTTGATACTTTTTCACTGTGGATTTGACCATGCTGAAATTTTATCAGTATGTTTAAAGTCTCATTTACAGTTAATGAAAGAAAAGAACAAAAACAGCATGCTATACCAACATGTGATATTAGAGTAAATGCAGAACCCAAGGTTTCAGCACATGAGCTGATTTACTCCCATCATTCATCTGTGCAAGTAAGACAAATCTACAGTTTAACCCAACTAATATTTAATGCCGCCTGTGTTTAAAAGAAAATGTTAGCTGTAGTCCATGTATTCAACTTAATAAAAATATTTAAAAAAAAAAACTCAACAATTTCAAAAAGGAATATTTACTCAATCCAAATAATAATTATACAGAAAACAAGATGAGAAGAGCTGATTCTAAAGACAATTTTATAATTAACAGTCTTCATGTGTAATGCCTCATGCTTAGTCTATCTATGTATAATAAAACAAAAGGGATACGCAAACCTGCAAAATACATAGCAAACAATAAAGTGAAATACTTTAAAAATTAACAATATAACAATAGATCAATAGGCTACTCACCAACAAAGTATCAACCCGCAAAAACACAACATACCTGATCCACATTAAGGGCCAATTAAGATATAGTTTTACCACCATCTGTTGCAGTTGCAATGATTCTAGATGTCTGTTTCTATACCTGCAAGTATTTTTGAATGTAAATTACATGTTTCTTATATACACAAGACTCAGAAGGTAAAAAAAAAAAAAATCATATTAAGAACAAACCTTGTAGTTGCCAGCAACTCTAAGTCAATCTGCTTACTTATGTTTACTGTATGAGCCCCCAAAGCCTCCAAAATACACTGAACAAAATTATAAATGCAACACTTTTGTTTTTGCCCCATTTTTCATGAGCTGAACTCAAAGATCTAAAACTTTTTCTCTCAAATATTGTTCACATCCCCTATAATGTACATCCCTAAGACACACAATGCCCATATACACACACTCTCTACAGCACCTAGACACACATACATTACATTACACCAGAAACACAACATGACTGAAACCAACCTATCAACACAAAACCACACCACAATCAGCTCACTCTACACACGCACAATCCCATAAGCGGGCTCCAAACAAATGCACAGTACTCTCTATTGTCATTTTTGCCTCCTGTCTCCTGGTATTCCATTTATGGAAACACCAGAGACAAGTTTCAAGCAAACACAACACAAGCATGTTATTAAATTGGCTTGTTATGTGCAGAACATATACAGGGCCTTTTTCTCATGCTAGGGCTCTTCAGCAGAGCTCTGCGCATGGTCTGCCATGGAAGAGCATTGAACCAACATGCTTACTTTGAGATGGGGTGTGCTTGTCATTGGTGATGACAAAACACACCCTATCTTGTCCAGCACGCTTTTCAGTGGGCCGCTGTGATTAAAAAATGTCCAAGCCAATTTTTTTTCCCGTCCAGCCCTGCATACAATCTACACATACAGATACAATGTCATACAAACACAGATATACTGACACACACAGAGACATTCAGACACTGTAATACAGACACAGGCATACAAAGACATACATACACAGGCTTATAGTCATACAAATACTAGCATATAGAGCAGGGCCGGATCCATAGCTTAATCTAGGAAATGACACTGGTAGTGGGTTTTAGAGGCTGTAATTAAAAAGTTAGGGGATGTAGTAGGGGGCTAGGGGCTGTAGTGGTGGGGGGTAGGGGCTGTAATTGCGGGGTTATGAAATGTAGTAGCGGGATGGGGCTGAAGTAGACTGTTGGCTAAAATTTGTAAAAGGGGCTGTGGTGTGGGTGATATGGGTTGCGGGGACAGGGGCTGAGTAGGGGAACAAGGACTGAGTAAGGGGGACAGGGGCTGAGGGGGGGACATGAGCTGTAGTAGAGGGGACAGCTGCTATAGAGGGGACCACATGAGGAAAGGGCTAAGATAATGGACAGGGGCTGGGACAGGGCTGAGGAAGGAGGACATGGACTGAATAAGTGGGACAGGGGCTAAATAAGGGGGACAGTGGCTGAGTAAGAGGGACAGGAGCTGAGTAAGGGATACAGGGGCTGAGGAAAAGGGGACGGGGCTGAGGAAAAGGGGACAGGGGCTGAGGAAGGGGGGCAGGGGCTGAGGAAGGGGGACAGAAACTGAATAAGGGGGACAGGGGATGATGAAAATGGGACAGAGGCTGAATAAGGGGGACAGGAGCTAAGTAAAAGGGGACTGGGGCTGAGACAGAGGCTGAGCAAGGGGGACAGGGGCTGGGACA